AAGTTTTTTGTATATGGGTCACAGTAAGTACTTGTAAAAACACTCACATGCCTACATGTAAACTGTCTCCATCCAGGGTTGTATGTCTGCATGCATGCACTTTGTTTATACAAGCACCAGCAATATATACCTGAGTACAAAACCTGAATACTACGGTGGCTGTACACACATCTGTAGCTCCCAAGCAGGGAACACGCCTGAATTTTACATTGTACAGTCTCAGGCGCGCATGTGCATGAGGTCTTAGGGTGTAACATGAAACGTGGTCCCAAAGATAAACTAAAAGGATAAGTTCACCTCATAACACGTTACACTCATATTCAGGGTGTATCATGTAACATCAGGGATGTTCAATTCCTATTGTCTGACGCCTGGGACATGCAGTTCCGGGCAAGAAGTTATTTTACATTTAGCCCTGCTGCGGGCAAGTGGCATGGCTTAGAGCCAAAGGTCGTCTCTTGTAAAAGTGATCCAAGCGGCTAACTAGCTGTTGAATCGCTTTTACAGGCAGCAGGAGGAGAAATACCACCACCACCCCCGCTGCCTTCTGCAGGCTATCCCAAAGCCTATGTCATCTCCCCCTGCTTGGTGGAGGCACACTTCAGTCCAGTCCCGCCCCCTGCTGCCCCATTGGCGGAGAGAGCGCCACCAGTCACAGCCAGGTGTTCTCCGTATAGATGCCTGGCCCAGATCACATTCTTCTGGGGAGCTGCTGGAGATGGAGGGCTACACGAGGTGGGGAATGTCACCCTGCCATACTACAACACCTTAGACCATGGCCACCACCGACCCCCCAACTTCACCGCCTCCCACCAATAGAACTGGAGGCGAAATCCATTGCTATCTGCACATTATTATATATTTTTTATTTATTTTATTTATATAAATTTATATTTTTGTTTTTATTTTTTGGGAGGATTTTTATGATGCTGCCACCACCATGTTTCATGGTGGTATGGTGTGTTCAGGGTGATGTGCAGTGTTAGTTTTCCGCCACACATAGCATTTTGCTTATAGGTCAAAAAGTTTAATTTTGGCCTCATCTGACCAGAGCACCTTCTTCCACATGCTGTGTTTGCTGTGATCCCCACATGACTTCGCACAAACTGCAAACAGGACTTCTTACGGCTTTCTTTCAACAATGGCTTTCTTCTTGACACTCTTCCATAAAGGCCAGATTTGTGGAGTGCATGACTAATAATTGTCCAGTGGACAGATTCTCCCACCTGAGCTGTGGATCTCTTCAGCTTCTCCAGAGTTACCATGGGCCTCTTGGCTGCTTCTTTGATTAATGCGCTCCTTGCACGGCCTGTCAGTTTAGGTGGACAGCCACGTCTTGGTCAGTTTGCAGTTGTGCCATACTCTTTCCATTTTTGGATGGTGGATTGAACAGTGCTCCATGACATGTTCAAAGCTTGGGATATTTGTTTATAAACTAACTGTTTTAAACTTCTCCACAACTTTATCCCTGACCTGTCTGGTGTGTTCCTTGGCCTTCATGATGCTGTTTGTTCACTAATATCCTCCATCAAACCTCTGAGAACAGCTGTATTTATACTGATATTAAATTACACACGGATGGACTCTATTTACTAGTTAAGTGACTTCTGAAGGCAATTGGTTCCACTAGATTTTGATTAGGGGTATCAGAGTAAATGAATACAAACACCACCCTTTTCAGATATTTATATGTAAAACATTTTGAAAATTCATTTATCATTTTCTGTCTACTTCACAATTATGTGCCACTTTTTGTTGGTCTATCACATAAAATCCCAATAAAGACATTTACGTTTTTTGGTTGTAACATGACAAAATGTGGAAAATTTCAAGGGGTATGAATACTTTTTCAAGGTACTGTATATATACTGTATATATCTTATTTTAATAATTTTCTTTTTAATTTTATATTTGTTTTTCAATAATGTTGTTTATTATCTCATTGTTATCTGCACATTATTATATGTATTTATTTTAATTATTTTCATTTTATTTTTATTATTTAATTTTCATTTCTTGTCTTACTTTATTTTTATGAAATATATTTATTTTTATTTATATTGGTATTTAATGTGATATTTTTTTCTAATTATATTTGTATCTATTTTTGTTCTTGTTGTAATGTGATTATTGTTATGTGCAGATAATTTTTGTTATTATTTTTATTTTATTTACTTTTTTATATATATATTGGTAATTTTTATTGGTAATATTATACATTTGTCATTTTATTTATTTTAATTTTGTATTTTATCTACTTTTTTGTTGTAATAATTCAGTTATTGTTATCGCCAGCCTTGTCCCATCCACTGGGAGGGGAGAGGGAGCCTGTCCAATCCGGGAAACCCAATCAACCAGCCACCACTTCCGCCAGCTGATCACAGAGGCGGACAAAGACTCCCTGTCAACCTCAATCATATAGGAAATGTTGTTTATTCAATATAGTGGCTAGGCGTGACTCTCTTATCCTCATAGAACCTTTCTGCTAGCTCCTCCTAGAGTGGGTGTGGTGCCCGCCCACTTCAGGAAAGCTGCTAGGAAAAGGGTTTACAAGCTGGGAGTTTAAGCGGGATCTATTGGGAGCAGCATTTCTAGCAGACGAGGACGCTCGGATGCTGGGACTCTTGCCAAGGCTATATGGGCTTATCGATTGGTCGTGTTTACGGCTTCCTTGTGACCCTGTGCATTATGGTTCCGATGGGGTCTGTTCCTTCCTGCCTTTCCATAGCTTTGGTAATGTATTAATTCTATACTGTGACGCTGTCAAATGATGTGTCTATAAGATATATAATCCTGTGTGTCGTATGATAATAAACGTGGAGGTTTTGACAGTGCAAGAATACTGCGGTTGGATTGTTATTTCTTGGAGTGCCGAGTGAATGCTATGATGTGCCAGGACAGGTGTTTATTTGGTATAGGGTCTTTCATATGCTTAGAATAATTAATGGTGTAAATGCTGGTTAAACGTACCTGTGTGACTACCTGTCTATTGTTTGTGTATATGACTTGCTTTTAGTTATTGCATCCAGCATTACATTACACCTTCTCAAAACTTTGGGTTCTGGTTTCCCTACCCTTACCCATTTGAAGGCGGGGTTATGTGTTTTTTCTCGGTTGAATTCTTACTTGACGAAGCTCTACTTTTTAATACTTCAAGTAGTATATACTTTTTTTCTTTTGTTTTCTTGCTACTGTGAGATTTTGACATTGCATTTTTTTTTAAACTACAATCACTTTGTATACTTCTACTACCTTGACATTGTCTCATACCCATTGTTCCGTATGTGTCAATATTCTTATTCTATACCGGAAAATAAGTGCCTTACTTTCTGTGTCCCTACTGGATTCTATAATACACGGTTTTCTGATATTAACTACTTCCCAACCACGCTATAGCCGAAGGATGGCTACAGCACGGTTGTCTAGTTCTGGGAGGACGTCCCCTGTGCGCCTCTGGTGATCGTTGTGTCCTACGGACATAGCTGATCACGTGATACGGTAAAATGCCAATCACAGCGGCCTTTTACCACGTGATCAGCTGTGTCCAATGACACAGCAGATCACCAGGTAAATACAGTTGCCAGTCATCAGCTGCACTTTCCTCATGCTGCCAAGAAGCGGCAATGGTCAGCGAAGGGATCGGCACTGAGCATCAGGGCACTGATGATTGCTGCCCTGATGATCAGTGCCCAGCAGTGCTGCCCACCTGTACCCATCAGTGCTGCCCATCTGTTCCACTCACCTGTACCCAGCAGTGCCACCCACCTGTACCCATCAGTGCTGCCCACCTGTGCCCATCAGTTCCACCCACCTGTACCCAGCAGCGCCGCCAGTCAGTGCCACCTATCAATGCAGCATCATCAGTGCCGCCTATCAATGCCACCTATCAGTGCTGCCTATCCGTGCCACCTCATCAGTACCCATCAGTGATGCCTATCCGTGCCACCTCATCAGTGCCTCCTATCAGTGCAGCCTCATAAACGCACATCAGTGAAGGAGACAAAATAACCTGTTTGCAAAATTAGAAACAAAGAAAAACTTTTTTGCAAATATTTTGCACTTTTTTGCTTATAGCGCAAAAAATAAAACAACCAGCGGCTATTAAATACCACCAAAGGAAAGCTCTATTTGTGTGAAAAAAAATTAAAATTTCATATGGATACAATGTTGCGCATGACCGCGCAACTGTCAAAGTGCGACAGCGCGAAAGATAAAAATTGGCCTGGGCAGGAAGGGGGGTGAGGGGAAGTAACTGGTAGGCAAGTGGTTAAAAACAAAAAACTGACAGGGGTTCTAATCCCTCTGCACTCTATCCAGACTAAAAGAACGTTTTACCTTTATACTTTAAACCTTTTTCTATTCTATCAAAAAATAATCTAAAAGCTGACATAGCAGGATAGAATAACTCTCCACAAATAGACGTCATTAGCTGAGGTGGAGGCCAGTAGTGGACACTATAGACAGGGACATAACTGGACACCATCCCTCACTAATTGTGCCCCCATATGTTTGAGTTCGAATTGTTTCCAATTCATTTTTATTCTGCTGTAGGCAGACACGATGAGAACATTCTTCTACATCTTTACCATTACCTCAGACACCAACACTCTCCATCGTCGTCACATCACTTCTATTTCTCTTTAGAAGCCGCTGTTACATTTCCCGCCACTAGGGAATTAAATCATATGCAAATGTGTCTACAGGTACTTGGCTCCGGCGGCCATTTTGCCGAAGACAAACACAAGCCTAATAGTAGGACACGCCATGTGACATTGTTACTTCTTTTTGGATGAGCGCTCCCACACGTTAACGCGAACTTACAAAACCCGCAGAAAAGAAGTATATCTATCTTTACATGTTAATCAGTCACGTCTCCGTATACATGTGCTTCCCGCTCTAATGTTGTATTCGGTCGCTTATTCGGAAACTCGGGGCCCACCCACTATTGGGCGTGGCTTGGTAATGTGGCGGCGGTATACCCTGGAAGAGCCGTGTAGGGTATGCAGCGGGAGGTGGGCAGCTTTCCTATCGCTCCATCCATCAGAGCGAGGCTGGTAGCTGCGGGCTTCCATACAGTGCAAGATGTGATAGAGCTGGCAGTCAGTGAAGTGGCTGGAGGTAAATGGTGCTGTCAGCTGTACACCATGGGACAGGCCTCCAATACATGGGCAGGATACGGTGCAACCTTTATCATCAGGACTTGGCATGGGACATGGGGGTGCCTTTGTTGGGCCTCATTTGAAAATGCTCATTGCTTGACTGGCTTCCTAATTCTCTGGCTTAAAGTGGAGTTCCACCCAAAAGGGGAAGTTCCGCTTTAAAGACTGGTGCCCCGCTCCCCATTAAGGATTGGAACCTTTGGGGAGCGGATACCTGAATTTGACAGGTGCCCACTTCCGCTCCGATTGCCTAGGCCAAGGGTAGGCAACCTGAGAGCCGCAGGACTACAAGTTCCATCATGCCTCTGCAAGTCATAGCTGTAACTCAGTTTTGTAATCTTTGCAATGCCTCATGGGAAATGTAGTTCCACAACAGCTAGAGAGGTTGCCTACCCCTGGCCTAGGCGATCAGAAGGTGTCCTCCGTTCCCTGTAGTCTTTCGGGACACGTGACCGGTCCCAGAAGACTACAGGACCATTCAGGAAGTGCAGCGCTACTTGCGCATGCGCAGTGGGTACCTGGCTGTGAACCTGCAAGCTATCACAGCCAGGTGCCCACACTGAAGTTGCCGGTGCCCAGAGAGAGAAGATTGTCGGTAAAACAGGCTGCAGGGGACACATTGCTGGATCGTGGGGCAGGTGAGTGTGTGTTTTTTTAAAAGCAGCTACAGTTTTTGTAGCCGCTGAATTTTTTTTTTTTTTTTTTTGATAGGTGAGTGGAACGCCACTTTAACTTATAGTAGAACTACACTGCATCTGAGGACCACAAGCTGTTTAATTCATTTTTAAGTCCTGGTTCATGCCATTGTGACATGCGATTTACAAATTGCACTGGAAGTTGCATGTAATGTATTTCTATGGACCTGTCTTAATAGGTGCACTTGCAAGTAGTGAGATTTGAAAAATAGTTCCTGCATTATTTTTTCACCACTTTAGTACGATTTAATTTTCATAGACTATAAGGTAAATCGTACTGAAATCGTACCTGTGTCTGTATCAGTGCTACTTTGCAGTCGCTCTTTAACCACTTGCCTACTGGGCACTTCCTGACTCCCTTCCTGCCCAGTCAATTTTCAGCTTTCAGTGCTGTCGGACTTTGAATGACTACTGTGCAGTCATGCAATATTGTACCCATATGAATTTTTTTTTTTGAGACGCATAGAGATTTCTTTTGGTGGTATTTAATCACCCCTGGGTTTTTTAATTTTTTTGCTAATCAAATGAGAGAAGACCAAGAATTTTGAATAAAAAACTTTTTCTTAGTTTGTTATAAAATTTTGCAAATCGAGAACTTTTCTTCTTTACTGCTAGGCAGCACTGACTGGGAGGCACAGATGAGGCTGCACTGATAGATGGCACTGGTGGACGTTGTTGGGATTGCACTGAAGGTCAAATCTGGGGCTGCACTGATACACTTTCCAATTACCAGCTCTTACCAGTGCATCCAATAACCAGCAACTGTATTTACATTGTGACCAGCTGTGTCATTGGACAGAGCTGATCACGGGGTAAAAGGGTGCTATGATTGGCCTTTGACCATGTCATGTGATCAGCTGTGTCCAAGGGATACAGCAATTACAGAGCTTGCCAGGTGTGCACAGGAGGCACGGTTCTGGAGGACGTCATATGACGCCCTCCCAGAACTAGACGACCCTGCTGTAGTTGTCATTCGGCTATAGCCCGGTCGTCGAGTGGTTAAATGGGACCAAATAGCACCACTCTGAAATCTCATTCAGTGTGAACCAATAATATCCAATTTCCTCCATCTGTCCATTTCTCCATGCTTTATCTTGCTGAGAAATCATGCTGAAAAGGACCCAGTAGCATTTCTGTCTGAGGCCATCTTGAATAGGGGCAGGTGATTTATGTAGTATTTGCTTCCTGGAATCCATCGGCTCTTGACAGGAGGGCGTGCATGGTTGAGAAAATCCCTCCTCCATCCTGAAGTCTCCTGGGATGTATGACATCATTTGCCTAGGCCTGGAAACCAGGAATTAACTGAAGAAATAGTTTTAAACAAGTTTAACCGCTTCCCTATAGCACAAATACTGCTGCAGGACTGCGAATAATCACATATATAGACATGATTTTGCATTTCCGTGTAGGGGGTACTTGTACGCTGCCATTGGTTGGCTACAGCTGTCAATCACCAAGTCACAGTCGGAGATTCTCTGCCGACATCGCTGAAGAACACGGACAGAGGAGAGGTATGTATGCAAACAATACAGATCTCTCCCCTGTCTGCTCCAGCATGCTACTTTGGTTTGCTCTGCATAGCAGAGCAATACAAAGCAGCATGCTTACACAGTAAAGCACACACAGTTAACCCTTTGATTGCCCAAGATGTTAACCCCTTCCTGCCCAGTGTCATTAGTACAGTGACTGCTTTTTTTTTTTTTAGCACTGATCACTGTATTAGTGTCACTGGGGGTGTCAGAATGCCCACCGCAGTTCCACTATAAGTTGCTGATGCCTCCATTACTAGTATTAAAAAGAAAAGAAAATTCCATTATATATTACCAGTCCCTAAGCCCCAGTTCACATATATGCAGCCGTGCGGGCTGAGTTTTTTTAATTTGAATGGACTCCCATGCCCAGTGACACGCAGAGAATTCCCTGCACTGCAGCCCACACAGGAACCTTGGTTCCCAGTACATTTGCGTTTTCCAGTGCAGGTGCCGTGCCATTAGAACTAATGGCACCCACCCGCGGGTCCGGATTTTCACGCGGATCCGCAGTGGCACCACCCGCACAGATGAATCTAGCCTGAATGTGTTGCTGTTTTAGTTTTATTTATTCTCCATTTTAATTTCAGCTGGTGATCGGGCTAGTAACACACGTCCTGTCTCTGTGTCCAATGTGTGTTCACCTTTGGGAGCATGTTACACCCATATTCACGGTGTAACTTGCAATATGCTCCAGCAGTCATCCACCCGCACCCTGATCCTCCTCCTGTGACAGCAGACAGGGGTTCTTCTCACACAGCCGCCTCATTCCTTCACAGCAAGCTGTGAATGAGTGGACTACAAGTACTGTCTGCCACTGAAGCAAGCAACGTGTACTTCTCAAGGAATTGTAGGACACTGGTGAGCACTCTCGTAGTCCCATGATGTTCCCGTTCTTTGGTAACTGCCTGCCTTTATGGGAGGTATTGGCAGACAGAAGTACCGAGAATCTGCAGGAGCCTGGTATTGCACCTGCAATCTGCTAATCATGAGTCCGATGCTTTCCAGGCCCCTGCGATAAAAATAATGCACTTTTTTTTTAGCAGAAATATGAGCATTTATTATTTTTCCCAAAAGGTGAACTTAACCTTTGACCTCTTATATATACATTTGAATGGGTCACATACAGTGGGCGTTACTGCCTGCTGAACACTACAGTGAAGATAACTGTTGCCACCCTGTGATGTAAAGCATCACTGTTTGCAGTAAATATAAACCCCCTTGGCTGCATTTGCCGTTTAAGGGGGAGCGGTTGGGGGGCAGCAAAAACGTCACATTTTCACCCCTCTCCAAACAACCAACCACGTGGAAATGAGGCCTAAGAGACAAACAGCTTCCTGATGATACACAACAGTACATACACATTTGAAGATCCTGCAGCCTCTGGGATTTGTGATATGAGTATCCATGGAGGCTGCGTCTTCAGAAGCAGTGCAGGGACTTCTCTGCGTGTCACGGGGCATGGGAGTCCATTCAAATTAATGGGCTCTCTTGCCCACGCAAAACTCAGCCCGCACGGCTGCATATATGTGAACTGAGGCTTAGGGACTGGTAAACTGCAATATATTACATTTTTGGGTTTAATAACACTTTAAAGAAAAATATATTTATGAATGTAAAGTGGAACTTCACCCAAGCGGAGGTTCCGGTTCTTTGTATCTCCCCCCCCCCCCCCCCCTTCACTGCCACATTTGGAACTTTGGGGGGGGGGGGGGGGGGGGTGCCTGGTTTTGACAGGTACCCGCTTCCACTTTGACGGTCAGATGTGCCGCAGTGATCTGAGCCGCAAGTTGGGTGCCCCCCTCTACAGCCTTTTTGGACACTTCACAGGTCTCAGAAGACTGTGGAACCATTTACAATGCACAGCAGGAAACCGGTTTTTCCTTACTTAAGATGCCAGTGCCTGCATCTGAAGCCAATTGAAGAATCGGCTCAGGTGAGAACATCACTGGATCCTTGGACAGGTAAGTCTCCTTATATTAAAAGTCAGCATCTATATTATTTGTAGCTGCTGACTTTTAATTTTTTGGGGGGATCCTGGAGCTCCTCTTTAAAGTGGTTGTAAACTCAATGCAGCAAATCCACAGCAACAAGAATGCCACAGTATAATGCAGGGATATGCTAGAGCATCATATCAGTGCTGAGGAAATACAATGATGTAAATATGCTACATTGATCAGTGTGCTGTGAATAGGATTTACACTGCGTACATGAGTGACGTAATGGACAGAGGGAGTGGGCGATAATTCCTGAAAAGTTTAAAGACCGACATGTAAGTTGGATTTTACTGATTGAAATTGTGCTGACTTGTCCTCTAGAGTTTTCTAATGCTTTAAAGGAAATGTATTGGGGTATAAAAAAAAAACTGCTTGGAGTAGAGAGTGAACACTGTCAGTCACTGTTCTCTGCTCTGCCCCAGCAGCTTTCACTAGAGTATCGGGCTGGAGAGGGGGTGGGAGCAGCTAGCTCCAGCTGGAGAGGGGGTGGGAGCAGCTGGGTGGAACCCGACAATATGGTCGTGGTCCTTCTAGAGCCTGGATTGGCACTGTGATGTGACAGCAGGCTATAGCTGGCCATAAACTGACTCTGGGTTACAGAAGGGACCGTGGCATTATTTGAAGATTGGACTGGGCATTACGCAGGTCTCTTCACCAGTGGGTTGCACAGAGGCCATCAAGCGACGTCCTGTATTGCCAGACATCATGCAGTGGAGTTTGGTTGTGCCACCATCCAGAGGTTTGGTGAGCAGGTGTATGCCCAACAATCCTCCATGTATAGACACTGCATGCAGACAACTTTAACTCCGAAATTGCTGTTGAGGAGTACTGTCTGCTAATCTCTTTCATCCAGTTGTTATTATTGCACAGTGACAAATCTGTGCCTCACCATAAGCAGGCTGGAATTAAGGAACACACTCACCGTTGATACTCCCCTGTCCAAAGGGAATCCATGTGTGGGGAGGCTGCTGACTGTATATTATTATTGCTGAATAACTGCTTAGTCATTTAAAGGAGAAACCTCTACTCAAAGTCAATATATTTTGTTTATTTCCAGTGGCATCAGGGCATAGAGGGAGATGACTAACCAAGGGTCTCCTCTTACCCCTGGGATCAAAGACCTACTGAAGATCTGACTGTGTCTCAATAGAAATAGTTATAAATCTGTGGGAGACTGATCTCTGTAACCAGAGAGTATATTTGTGGGTCTGTTTTCTTATTGACTTAATATATCCAGTAAATTATTTTCTAAAATTCAAATATCTGTGTTGGTGTCTGCATTGACTCATCTAATCTGGAGTGCCAGAGGGGTAGAGATTGTTCTTGGGGTTGAGGCAAAGCAACAGGGGACCCAAACATTTATGTGGCTCCTTTGGGGGTAGCACAACACTTGTTATACTCACTGTGAACTTAAGGGGTTAATCCTCTGCATTGTGTAAAAAGGATGTTTGATAATGTCTTCTCTGATCCTCCTCTTCTTGTACTGTCCATCTCCTGATAGAACAGACCCTTGGAGGCAAGCTGCACATGCTCAGTTTAGTGTGTATTGCTAGAGAAGTTTTATGCATGTGGTTAGCACAGGGCCAATCAACACTGTCCAAACAGAGGGTCAGGGGTCCTGCAGCCTCATAGAACAGTGAGAGGAGAATTAAAACTCCTGCAAGCTTTAACCAGTGCTCTGCTGGACACTGATAGAAGTCACAAAACTGCTATATACTGCTGATGAGAAAAGGTATTTAACAGTTTATATTTACTAAAATAATTGCATTTTTATATTCTGTGTACTGTGGGAGACCAGATATAGTGAATGCAGGGTCCTGGGTTTAGTACCACTTTAAGAGAGTAGGTAGACTGGAACCGGGTGACAACGCAGGCAGAGGCTGGATGCAGCTGGAACTTGCAGCAGGAGTCAGGACGTAGTCTAAGGTCAGGATCAGGTTAACAGCAGGAGGTAACAAATCAGCACACCGCAAGCATGGTCAGGATCAGGCTGACAGCAGGAGGCATCAAATGGGAAGACAGTAAGCAAGGTCAGGAGAGCAAGCAAGGATCAGCAACAGCAGAGAGAGATTCAGAAACAGGAGGCAAGCTGGGTGAATATAAGAACCACAGAGTCAGTTCAAGGTCAAGGAAATAAGGTTAGTGACACCAGTGGTGTTGTATTTAAACACTCAAATGCGTAGTGTAGACCCTAAGTGCCTGGGTTCCATACTACACGGTAAGCTTGCACTGATTCTTGTGCATAGTGAAAGACTTGACCCTCCTGACAGGCTAATTCTTACATCTTTGTTTGTTTTTTTTAAATATAAAATATTTTTATAAAATATTGCCAACCTCTCATGACTTGGTATATAGCAACAAGTACCCATTGTGTGTCTCATGATTTGCCAACTTGGGCAATGGTTCTGTTTTGTTGTCCTCAAATAACCTTAGAAAGTGTAGCTGTGAGCCATTAAAGGAGCATTCCTAGGACACAGCTGTATCAAAAATTATCCCATGCCAGTGAACAATATGAAGACAATACAGTTGTAATAGAACAATATAAATGAAAGTATAGTATCTACAGTACTGATTATTCCACTTTCCTTTAATACAGTATTAGATGTGTTGTAAAGATAGGGTTTTGCTTGTCTGCTGTGTCCTGATACTGAAATGACTGTATGATCTATCCACTTACTGGTTCCAAACTAGCAATTATTTTTGTTTTGGCCAACAGAAGCCGGAATATCCGAAGAAGCTGCTCAGGAAGCACTGCAGATTTTGCAAGGACAAGGCAATGATTCACAGATACTAAAGCATACCGCTTTGGAATTGCTTGAGCAGGAGCAAGCTCAGGGATGTATCATCACGTTTTGCTCAGCCTTGGATGAAATCCTTGGGGGAGGAGTGCCACTGGGAAAGATCACTGAGATTTGTGGCCCCCCTGGTGTGGGAAAGACACAGTTATGGTAAAGGAGCTTGATATGTCACATTGGTTCCATACTCTAGAGCAGGGGTGTCAAACTGGTGGCCCCCCAGGTGTTATTATTATTATACAGGATTTATATAGTGCCAACAGTTTGCTCAGCGCTTTACAATATAAAAGGAGACAATACAGCAACAATACAGTTCAATACAAGAGGGTTAGGAGGGCCCTGCTCCTTGGAGTTGAGGAACTGCAAGTCCCGTGAGGCATTGCAAGGCTGACAGTTACAAACATTACTCCCACAGGCAGAGGCATGATGGTACTTTTAGTTCCGCAACAGCTGGAGGGCTGCCAGTTTGACACCCCTGCTCTAGAGAGTGTGCAATGTATGTGTGTTCTATGTGTAGGGGCTTATTTATAAGACAGAGACTAATTGCCACATCAAATCACACAACACATTCAGTGGTAAATCCAGGTCTCAAGGTTTACCACACTTACAATACGTACGTATTGCTTCAAGGTCACCATATAAATAAATCTGCTGGACAAATGTGGACAGAGCTGAGCTCCTCAAAGGATTTGTCTGCTCCAGCGTACAAAATTCCAGAGTCGTTGTGTTCAACTAAAAGAAAACTAGTGCATGGCTGCTCAAGTGCTAAAAGTCATGCCGTGTGTGTGCTTGAATGGAAGTACCTGTTCGTTAATTGTTGAAAAATAACCAATGTTCCCCCACATTTTAAGTTATGACCTGCATTTTTCTACATAACAACAACACCAGTCACTGCTAGGTCAAATAGAAAACAATTGCATACACTAAGGGCTACTTCACACAGGTGTCAAAGAAGTGGTAAAAACAGGTCAGCATTTTTTTAATGCCTCCCAAGCACCCACCTAAATTCTAACATTGTATTCTCTTCCACCATGGATCGCTTTTCAGAGGGCTGTAGTGACTTCCAACACATGTGAAAGAGCCCTAATACTGTTATGTTTTATTTGATACTGTGATATCCAGCTTGTTTCAATATACTGTATCTAACTGTGGTGTGGTGTCATATTTTCCTTTTGTTTAAATTCCCCCTTCTGATCTCCAGTTGTTATTCTACAGTATGCAGCTGGCAGTAGATGTACAGATACCAGAGTGCTTTGGAGGCAATGATGGTGAAACGGTTTATTTTGATACTGAAAGTAGCTTCAGAGTGGAAAGACTGGTGGAAATTGCAAATGCTTGTGTTCTGCACTGTAGTCTTATTACTCAAGCCCACCAAGAAGAAGGTGTGTATGTAATTTAATTAGCTTATGTTTTGTTTCAGTGTTCGCTGATTTTTTTTTTTTTTCGTATATCTTTATTTAAATTTTGCAATATAAAAAATATAACAACCCAAAATACATCACATTCACAAGTACATAAATCTTTTACAACATCTTATCCCCTCCCCCAAATACCCCTGTCTAGATCAAGTTAACTAAATACTTACTCCCCTTATATGTTATCTATCTATATCTGTCCCCATCCCTCTCACAGGCCTCTCTCTCACTTTCAGGTTTTCTATCAGGCTCTCCAGATTTTTTCCCCCCTAAGCCCCAGACCAGTTCCGAGTATCTTTTAGATGTTTTAAAATCTAACCAACTGCTCCACATTTTCCTAAATTCTTCCATATTGTCCTCCAAATGACACAACTCCTCCATCCTGAAAATATTAAGCAAATCCAATCAGATAAAACGAGCACTGGATAAACATATAAAAAGGAGCAGCTAGTATGAAAAGGTAAAAACCTCAAACCCTCTCATTAATAATAAAATAAAACTCATGCAGCGCTAAAAGTATGATAAAACACATAAAATCTTAAATTATAAATTATGATACCAATATAACAAAATTAAAAAATATGAAAGTGACCAAGTTCAATGACCTTATCTGTTATAGTGACATAAATAGATGATAAGATATAACATTCGCAAAAATTTAAGGTGCCAGAAATCAATACATGCACTATGGCATATGGTGAAGTGCAAATATACGCACTATAAACATATGGTGAAGTATAGATGTGATAAGAACGTTCCCAATTGGCGTTTCCAGGTGCATATGTGATTAATCTCTGATTAGTGTAGATCTGTGATGGTGAAAGATAAAATAAATGGCCGTAGATTGCACTCACCAGAGATTGCAAATGAATGCGCATTTGAGTATTAAGGACCAACTCCTGGTCATCAGCATCAGGTTGCTTAAAACATCAGGTCATCTGGTGGGCATCAGGGGGGCAGACAGCACACCATCAGGTAGTATTCGGCACCGAGGATGGATTAGCCACCAGGGGAATCACACTAGTAACTGCAGTCAGGTCACAATGGGTATCCTTGTGAAAAAGACTCACCAGAAGTGAGCCAAAACAAAAAGACTTCCCATAGTGTAGTAACTTTTAATTTATTCAAGGTTAAAATGAAAAGATGAAATAAACTCACAATGGATAAATGATGTCCAAATAGTAACAATCTGGTAGTCTGATGTCCATAAGAAAGTGTACCAAGCATACTGTGTCAATGAGGCAGGCTTCCTGACATGTTTCGTGCACAAGCACTTTTTCAAAGTCCTTTTGTTTTGGCTCACTTCTGGTGAGTCTTTTCCACAAGGATACCCATTGTGACCTGACTGAAGTTACTAGTGTGATTCCCCTGGTGGCTAATCCATCCCTCGGTGCCGGATACTACCTGATGGTGTGCTGTTTGCCCCCCTGATGCCCACCAGATGACCTGATGTTTTAAGTAACCTGATGCTGATGACCAGGAGTTGGTCCTTAATACTCAAATGCGCATTCATTTGCGCTCTATGGTGAGTGCAATCTACGGCCATTTATTTTATCTTTCACCATCACAGATCTACACTAACCAGAGACTAATCACATATGCACCTGGAAACGCCAAGTGGGGACGTTCTTATCACATCTATACTTCACCATATGTTTATAGTGCTTATATTTGCACTTCACTATACGCCATAGTGCGTGTATTGATTTCTGGCACCTTAAATTTTTGCAGATATTATATCTTGTCATCTATTTATGTCACTATAATAGATAAGGTCATTGAACTTGGTCGCTTTCATATTTTTAAACCTTTGCGGATATTATAGCTTGTCATCTTATATTATTTATTTATGTCACTATAACAGATAAGGTCATTGAACTTGGTCACTTTCATATTTTTTAATTTTGTTATATTGCTTTCATATACTTTATAATTTACGTTTTTATGTGTTTTATCACACTTTTAGCGCTGCATGAGTTTGATTATCCTGAAAATATTATCCACTCTATTTAACCAATCATTTATTCTTGGTGGTTCTGGGGCTTGCCAAAATTTTGGAATTGGGCCCTTAGCTGAACTGATTAAACGATATAGTACCCTGTTTTTATACGGTTTGCCTACAGGCTAGGAGTAAAATAAACACATCCACGGGTCCTTTTGTATAGTGATCATCCTGATTTCCTGCATACAGTGAATTATTTCCTTCCAAAAATCCTGTATGTTCGGTCAATCCCACCATATATTATTATTATACAGGATTTATATAGCGCCGACAGTTTGCGCAGCCCTTTACAAAATGAAGGTAGACATTACAGTTACAGTACCTTTCAGTATAGACGGAATATATGTGCCATTGTACCCTTTTTCCCACAACCTCTCCAACATAAAGGTGAAACATCCACTTGCTGTTTATGTGCCACACTCTGTGTAATATACCATCTCGTCAAACATTTGTAATTCATTTCTACTGTGCTCATATGTCACCTCATGTGTTAATTTAAATATTTTATTCCTTTCAATTCTGTTCCAAACTCCTTTTCCCATTTTTCAAAGAACCCAGGAGGATCAACTCCCTCCATATCTATCAGATTTTTATATACCCTGAAGGTGGCTTGTTTCGGAACTGTATTTACATTCAATAGTTTTTCAAATGGGTACATATCCTCCGAGGTCCTCAGTGGTTGAGGCAGCGATGAAACAATGTGTCCCAATTGTCCATACCGCCACTCATCTAATATAAAAAATAAATAATTTTTTCCCTTTAACTCTTGGTATGTGTGAAATCTCCCCTTATGCAAGATATCTTTCAAACATACATTTTTATCTTTAATCCATTTACCAGAGATTATATCCTTCCCTGGGGGTAAATACTCCCTACCTGCCAAAGGAGTCAGAACGGAATTGTATTAGCATCCTTTCTGGTTATATATTCTATCCCACACACTTAACATCTTTTTTGTCAGAGGACTAATATTCTCATCTAGTGTACGAAATTTATGTGGTATCCATACAGTCTTCCCTAACTGTGCATTACTTAGTGTTCCTTTCCCTTGTGAATTAAATGTCCAATCTGCTGTTCATGATAATAGGACCGCAAAATAATATTGCCTAAATTTAGGCAACCCAAGTCCCCCATGCCTTTTAACCTTACACAATACTTCATAACTGATTCTCTGTTTCTTATTTGCCCATATAAACCTGAGTATCAACTTTATTATCCGAAAAAAAGACCCTGGCAGGTTTATTGGAAGCATGTGAAACTTTTTAAAGAATTTGTACAACTATCACCACCTTTACCAGGTTTATACGACCTATCCAAGAAGCTCCTCCAACACACCGTTTAATTCATTTATTAAGGGGATGTAATTTGCCTGTTATAATTTTTTAGTGAAGAAGTTAATTTTATCCCCAGATAACCTATTTCCTTTTCCTTCCATGTGAAAGGAAACTCTTTTTGAAGACCTCGACCGCCGCTGACGGACCGTTATAAAACCCTTTTATCCACTTCAACATTTTGGGCCCTAATCTTAAGACTTCTAACGTATCGAACATAAACCCCCAGTCAACCCTGTCAAAAGCCTTCTTGGCATCTATCGACAGAAATAATGTCAGCTGTTTCTCTCTCTTTACTTGTAGGAGGAACAATGATCTCAGACCATTGTCCCGCCCCTCTCTTCCAGGGATAAATCCTACCTGATACGAATGTATCCATACCGGCATCTGCTCCTTCAGTCTAGTTGCCAAACCTTCGCATACAATTTTGTATCCACATTTAATAAGGATATGGGTCTATAGCAGGGCTTGAAAAAGCCGCTCGCCAAATGCGAGGAGAAATTCTCTAGCGGCGAGCACACATGATGGAGTGGCTGCATTTCAAGCCTCATTGTGAAGCTGAGTTCCGGTTTCCGGCTTCTTCGGCACCGCCACTGAGGGGACAGGTGCAGGAGAGGTCCGCTCTCCTCCGCTGAGAGGAGACACTCTCTCCACCGCTGCGGGGGACTGAAGGAGTAAGTACTGTATACATGTCATATCACTATAATGGAGTACAGGGGAGCTGGGATATACATTACTCAGTAATGTATATCCCAGCTCCCCTGTACTCCATTATAGTGATATGACATGTATACAGTAATGTATATCCCAGCTCCCCTGTACTCCATTATAGTGATATGACATGTATACAGTAATCATTACTGTATACATGTTATATCACTATAATGGAGTACAGGGGAGCTGGGATATACATTACTGTATACAGTTTTATATTTTGGACTTGTTATTCTAAAGAAAAATGTAATTTCATAAGCTTTAAGGGGGCGTGGTTGGGGGCAGACCTGGGCACGGTTGGGTGGGGCAACTGGTGGAGAGTTAGGTTTGTGCCTGGCTAGTAGGTCTAGACTCGAAATTGTAAGCCCTGGTCTATAGCTAGCACACTGTGAGCTATCCTTGCCTTCTTTGCGTATGATAGTTATATGTCCTTGCAGTGATTCTTCCCTCATTTGCGTCCCCTCTCCTATTGCATTCATGTAACCACACTTTTTTGGGACCAGATCTCTAAATTTTTAAAAATAACCCACAGTATATCCTTCGCGAACCGGGGCTCTTTCCTGGGGCCGTGTTCTTTAAGGCCAAACTGATTTACTACGGGGTAATAGTTCTCTGTAGGGCCTCTAGTTTTTTGTTTTTTTTGCTATTCTTGGCATCTCCATCTCCTTTAAGTATTTATGCCTTTTTCTCTTCTTAACGTCTTCCATATCTTTTTGATTTCTAGGGCTCACATCATAGAGCCTACTATAATATTCTTGAAACCTATTAGCGATATCAGTAGTGGAGTACTCCAAGTCTTCTTTACCAGTTTGAATTTTGTCTATAATATTTTTGGATTTCTTTTCCTTTACCCTCCTCATTAGATGTTTTCTAGGTCTATTCCCCCACTATCTTTCTTTTGATACCTTATTAAATATCTT